CACCCCTCTAAAAATTATACCCTCCGAAAACCCTTAAAATGCAATTTTTCAACTATTTATTGTAGTAAATTTTGCAAACGCAGAAAAGTAGTGGGTTGCTTCTTCTATCACGGCATACTATATAACTTTAAAAAAAAACAAAATGGCCGTTAAAATTTATCGTTATATAAAATCCATTTTTCCCAAATTTTTGGTGTCGTTTTTCTCCTAAACCCCAGGTTGCAAAAGTCTGAAATTTTAACAGCTTCCAGTCATTACTAAATAGTTCATTTTATTGGAAGAAAATTTTTTTCCACCTGCTCCCCCTTTTCAAGTTATCGCCTCATGAAATTTGTAAAATTTGATTATTTGGCCCCTTATATTAGCAAAACCGCAAGATTTTTCAAATTTCTATAAACGCAGAAAGGTAACGGTAAATTCTATGCTATTAAAAAATATAATTATTTTTCTTAATTCACACAATTAACCCTTAAAATCGAGCCTTATGTTAACCCTTCATAAAATTAATTTTTGTTTTATTTCAAAAACTGCTATATACCGTTCATCCTAAATATATGCAATGCATGAAATAGCTTCGTAAATGAATGAAAAATTATTTTCAATGTGGTTATTGTTTATATTGTTTTTCAAAGCAGTATTTTCACTTGTTGAAGAGAAAAGTGTTATAATACAAACCATTGGTTTGACCCAAGTTTATTTTCATTTGTTTGCATAAGCTACTTGCTCGTCCTTAATACCTGGAAAAACGCGTACCGCGTCTACCTACTTTTTTACGCTAATATGTTGATATTTCGACATATACTCAATTTGATACTAAACACGGCATTCAAAAAACATATTGCTGCATCTGCCATAGTTTTGCATGCTTCTAGTAATAAAAACTGGTAGAAATTGAGATAATGTCTTTCGATATTTCTTTAAATAACATTTTGTGTCATGTTTTATTGAAATGCATTCTCAACATTCGAGCTATGTATATCACTACAGAATAAATATGTTTCCAATATGGAGTTATATTTTGCGTATATACATATTATTCAATTTTGACAGAACAAATCACTTCTTAATCTAAAAAGATCGTTGACATCTTGAGTGAGATCTTATAATATATATTCATGTTGTTGTGATGTTATGTAATTATACAAGATGTTGCACATTAGGTGGGAAATAATGTAGGTGATACTTCACCGGGCAGTGTCACGTGAAGAAATTAGCAATAGCGCGAGCCACGCCCCTGTTCATCCTCCACTTGCCGGAGCGCGCTGGAAGAAACAACACCCCTTCGCGTCCTGGGAGTGGAGGCTATTCGCAGCGAGCAGACAGGCAAGCCTGACCCCCACCAGCCCATCGCCAACCTCGTCCATATGTCCACTGTGGCCCGGCACATAAATGAGCGTGACTCTGTTCAGCGATATCAATTCTACAAAAGCGACACCGTCGAATAAATCGACCACCGTATACACCTGAATCCACAGCTGACCCCGTTTTGGGCCTGTCTGCGTATGACACGCTCAAACCAACTTCAGTTATTGGGCTGACCCCATCCCAAATTCATCAACGGGGAAATAGAACCCTGAATCTGCAGTCGCAGTTGTACCGAGGCAGACAGGCATTTGACATGGTCATTCTTAGAATCGAATGGCTCTGAATGAAGTCTCTGTGAGTCCTCTGTGTCCTCTGTGAGTAAGTAGGCTGAGGGTATAGTTGTAGCTTCTAAGAAAGGTTCCACATCATACTCAGTTATGAACAATTCCCGAAACTTGAGGAAAACTTTTCTTAATATTACAATGTCACATATACAGTATTCAAAAATATTGCGTTGATTACTAAATATTTCACTTTTACGATTTAAATACCGCTCTAAAAATTACTCACGTTCTTTTGCTTTCTTGTTATCTATTATAAAGGCATTTTAATGGTGTTAAATTTGTGTGAAAAGTAACTGTTCTATAAATTTGGTAGCAAAAGCTTTTGGCAGTTGGGGAGAGCGATGAGAAAATGGTTCCAAAAGCCCAGACTTGGAACCTCTGAAGGGATCAATTAGCTCTTTTAAGGTTCACGTTAATAAATTATGTATCAAGTTCAATGTCAGCCTTGGTACATCGTTTGATACATAGAATTTCAATCAGAGGTATATAAGTTTGAAGACGAAGAATACGTGGTGCCAGAACAGCGAAACATAAAGTTATAAATCTTTTTTGGGATCACCAGTTACTCCATGGACTTCTATTTTCAAGCCAACTGTTGTCGAAGGTGCATCCTTGCAGGATGAATTGACCTGTTGTGAGCCTCCTACGAGTTCAAACACGTCCGTCGCCAATGAAACTAACTGCTCAAATGTCATAATGTGCACTAATTGCATCAGACCTTCTAAGCAACCAGTTGCTAGATCTTCCTCCATAGCTAATATCAATCCAAGTAGTTTAAAATATAAGCTGAAATATAAGTCGTTAAAACTTATTGTACCTTTTTCCTTAGCTGATGACATATTTGGCCATAAGTTTTGGTATTTATTTCAAGGCACTCTAAACTTAAGTTAATTTTTACTAACCCACTTAATAATAAGAAGAACAAGAAACAGGTTCGTTTTCAAAATACTAACAATATGGACAACTCATCACGCATTGATATGTCTCGCTTAGGTAAGTGCACTAGGCAGCTTTTTTCCCGTTACAAAAATTATAACAATTCTACTTTTAAAGAGGAAAAATGACAATAATAAAAAGCGTGAAATAAACAATTTTAAAATTAATTTTAGTAATAATAAAAGCAAAAATAACAATAATAATAATGATAATAATTCACTTTCAATATATTCCCTCATCCTGAGTAAATAAAGTGAATTATTTAAATTATTTACTGAGGATGAGGGAAGCAAACAATAAGTTTTTCTTTCGTTGACCTCAGTAACAATAGTAACTTGGTCCAATTAAGTATGACAAGGATTGTGAAACAACTTTCTTGGTACTATCAAAAAGTTCCTCTCAAAAACTAACACTGTTCTGTTCAACTTCCCTCTTCTTTAACGTGATACTTAAGCTCTAATGGAAACTGGTTGTCCCCTCAACCAGGGGAGGAGGGGTATTAAACGCTGTTTCTTAAAAGGATTCTGGTGATTCTTTAATTTAAAGATTGAAAGGATTTTGATAATCTTGAAATTAAAGCTAAATTCTAAAACACTTTTCTTAGTCAATCGCAGTTTACCGCTTAACTCAAATAATGAGTTATATACAGAATTGGAGTTTTCTTTTGTAGATGCCTTTCTTTTAAATAGCTTAAAATAAACATGCTCGATAACAAACCTGAAATAGAAGCAACTGGATCTAGTCTTTACTTCTAATTGGAATAGTTGCTTACCTATAACTTTTCCGTATCCGTTGGTTAACGTAGACATCTTTCATCCTCCGCTGACGGATCCGAAAACGGGTAAGTTTTATGAAATAATTGTTGCTGCGTTCGAACTGATCGTTCCAGTGTTTAAATGTAAAGATACTAGTTCTGGCAGTGACAGTAACAATTTTCGATTGTCATATGATCAATTTAAATTCCGACAAAAGAACGTTTCGAATACCAAAGTTATTAAGTTTAGCATAACAAAATATATAATCCGAAATTTTTTTGGAAGCTCATAAACCATAAGAGGAAATGTGATAGTTCACCAAACCTTTTTGAGTTTCGGCGGGAATACAAATAATACTTCCCAAATTATTTCTGAATTTATTTTGTAACTTTTCGCCGAATCTTACTATTTTTCATCTTTTCAAATAAATGCTGGAGATTTTCGGCACAATGAATATATTTCCAATTTGAGATCTAGTCTTTCTTCAGGACCAAATGAAGCTGTTGAGATTATTTTAAGCAGATCTTCTCGCGCGCTTATCTTAACCTTAATTTTTAATAGGTCTTAAACAAAAACCACTACAACCATAAAAACCACTTGAAATTATTCTACTCGTGCCTCGTCCATCCTCATCTTGAATATGCTTCGCAAGTGTGGTCGCCAAATTTCAATGTGCATATTAACAGAATTGCGTCTATGCCAAACGGGGGTTCGCACTACGACTTACCCACACTGGGCAAAAGACGTGATGTCGCGGCTGTGTTGTTCATTTTTCAGCATGAAACCTGACTTAATTTCTCCCAACATTTTAAAAGTGATAGTAGCTCTAACTTTAGGCCTCGTTCCCCTGATCTTCCCTTGCTCTTTTCTTTCTAAAATTATCATTATAATGTCAATGATTACTTCCTTCATATGTAACACCTCTGCCACCGATTCCATACTAGTAGACAACAATTTTGTAATAATTGAATAGTTTTGGAATTGATGTAATTTTGCTTCCACAACCATGTGTCAAAACTAGAGTCTTGGCTTTTTTGACGAATCACATTGCCCTGCTTTCCCATACGTTTGAAGAAATACAAGCAAATCTCGATTTTCTACATAGCAAACGAAAAGAAGCTAAACTCCGAATCAATATAAAAAAAACTAAGTCTGTAAGAATAAATAGTCGGAACATGGGCCAATTCAAGATTACAATAATAGAGGATATAAAAAAATTCAATAACTTTGGTAGTATAATTATTACGCACGGGAGTACAGAAAAGCACGTCTTAAATACAATTGAGCTGCGTGGAGATCATCCGGGCTAAGCAGAAAAACAAAATTAAGGCAAGAATTAGAGTGGGATCCACAAAGAAAACATAAAGTCAGAAGCAAGACCTGGGCACAAAAAAAACATTTAGCCCGCAACACAGTGAGATGGAGAGGAACAAAGGAGATAAAAAAAGAGTGACTAAATAACAAGAATGAATAAAACAGATGGTTTATAGAAAAGCAATTTTTGTTTACTACATTATTTAAATTACTTTTATTCTTGTATCAAAATATATCAACTTCTGGCATAAATTTGGATGAGGAGAAAAAATGATAAAATCGTTAACATATTGGTTGATTTAAACAGTTATGTTAGTAATTTAAAGTATATACGGTTCGCGATGGAATGGAGGAGAAAAAAAATTTTCTTTTAACAAAATAAATTATTTATTTGGGCTATTTATAAGTAAAAGTCATTTTGTCTTTGTCAATTCAATTATCCTGTGCCACCGTAGAAAAAGCATGTTTTCTGCGTAGGCGGAATTTAAAAAATGTTTATTTCCATGCAAGGCGTATGGGGATAGTAATGGAATGTATTTTGAGTAAATTTCCATATCAATTCAAAAGTAGTGTCAGACCCAAGGAGAATAAATTCGAACACATTCAAATCTTAATCATAACGTGTATTTGAAAGATTTGTATATAACAAAATTAAGAGTAAGTATACAGCAGTTGTATTCAGTATGTAAGTTAATATTGATGGTTCATGTTTTTTTTTTTAAATTTACGAGTGTATTTTTTTTTGGATTAGTTTTTGGTCACTAAAAGTAGCTAATTTCAAGAGTCATAATGATTTGTACTCCCTGCTATGTAAGCTTCTCATTTTAAAAGTACAAGAAGAGCAAAACATCAATTGTAAAAATCAATTTGTAAAAATCATTTTTATCACATATTAATATTTATTTATTTCCAGCATATCCTGCTCTTTTCATGATAACGGACGTTCCATTGAACATAACTTTGTCATCAATTCAATATTAAATGTGTCTTATGATAAGTTTCGCATTATCTACAAATATTGTACAACTACAAAGTGTTGTAAGCGATAATTAATTTGCATATGTATTTTAGCGGAGTTCATCGAAAAATCAGAGTAATAATATAAAAGCATCCATAAATTAGTAATATGTATATATTTTTTAAGTTATTTTTTTAATATTAGTTCTTACCTATTACGTCGGTATGGATATTATCTTTCAAAATGTTCCAAAAAAAAACCTACATACATATTTACATATATTGAATTTGCGCACTGCAAAATTGTCTTCCATTTTTGTTGACGTTTCCCTAACATAAGCCCAAAGCACTTTTTCAGTACTTTTTAAAAGCAGTTATAGTCAATCTATCAGCATAACGGGAATAAGAGCGTAGTGCTCTAAAAACAGTTTTGTGTACATAAAAATTAATTTTTTATGGGATAGATACTCAACTAATTAAACATGTATATAAACGGATGTACAAGTAGAGTGTTATCCAGTTTCAAATACAAAATATGCACATAAAGCTCATATGTACATATTAGAAGAGATATAAAAAAATAAAAAACAAAAATATTATAGAATATAAAGTTTTAACATAAAAGCATTTTAAAATTATATAAAAGATATAAAGAGAACTTATTATGTTTAATTATACAATCATTTACATGTATGTATGTATGCAATTATGTGTGTATTTAACGTAAAAAGCATTTTAAGAATTGATTTTTACATTTTGTATTTTTTATATGTATAAAATACAGTATCTACTTTAAAAAGTATAAATGGCATACATAGATACATATTATTTACATTATGATATTTATAAAAATAATTTAAGTTAATGAAAAGTTATATACATATATCGTATGCATATTGCAATTTATTGGTTCAAATATGTGGAGTGACAAGAAGCGCTTTTAAGTTTTTAAGTGTATGCAGAAAATTTTTAATTTATGTGCGAAAGAAATAAGAAAGATACAAGAACTTTTTTTCATCCCCAGAAAACTAAGATTTCATAAATCCGTTGCAGTACATATGTACGTACAGATGTATGGTCTCATTTCATTTTTTTTCTCATTAAATAAATACGTAAAATTCATCAACGTACCATCCCTCAAATTATTAGCCAACTTATGCGAAACACCCTGCACTATATTATGTTGAATATTATTGGTGTAACACATATACATGTCTGCATTAAACATGTAATAATAATTGTAAAATGTAATTAATAATCAATAAACATGTAATGTAATTAATACTACTTTTCTACTTTTCTGGCATTAATTTATTCAATTGCAGAGATCTTTGATTTTCTATTAACACAATTACTAACAATTATACAGGCTATTTATCGTTATTTAATTACTTAATTACAGACCTAATTTATTGGCTCCAAAATTTTGTGTAGTGTTAACTACTTCTTTTCCTTATTTATTAGAAATTGAATAATTCTTTCCCCATGTAAGGTATACATATAAAAATTAGTACCACAATTGTTTTTAAAAATTTTGTATTTTTATAATCAGATTCTTTGTATGTATACCAAAATCATGACTTGATTCTTTGAGTATGTTTTTATTAAAATTTATCCGTTTTAATTTAAATAGTTTTTTTTGACGAACAGTAAATAGACTTTCCTATTGTTTTCTTGTGTGTGGAAAAAGTGTACACTCATCTAACGCATTTTATAAAAAAGAGTATAATGTAATATAGGTACAACGCAAAGTTTTTTTTGAAAAATGGATATTTTTCTTCAAAGAAATACTTAGAAGTATTTATTAATAAAAAAAAATTAAAAATTCATCATAAACATATTTAATGAATTCAATTATCTAAATTAAGCTAAAAAATATATAACTAATTAAAATAATAATTCAAATAATATTACTAATATTTTAATTACTCTTTTTTCTTTTAATCTTTTTTTTTTATTAATTATATTTTCTTTTTACAATTCTACTTTCATATTAGTATTTTTTTCTTTTATTTATTTTGTTTTCGAGAAAATTTCTTAAAAGCCATGAAAAATAACTATTAAAAATAAGTATTATTACTTTTGGCTTTTTAGATGATCTAACCGCTTTTAAAGATAACTCATAATCTTTTATATATTCATAAAATTGTTTACAATACGTAATTATATTAAATTTATATTTCGAAAGCATCAAATCTTTAATAGTGTTCATATTAAATCTATTTTGGTCATCAGACTATTGTTCATCAATAAGTTAAATGTTCTGTTATTTCGGTTTTTGTGAAACGATTTTCGTATTTGGAAAAATGGTAAGATAGTACCAGTCAATTTGTATGGTACTGCCTTTCCATTTCTGTGGCCTAACTGAGATCACAAAAAGTTCAAAGATTTTTTTTTGATAAAATAAAGAATGAAAAGTTAACAAAAGAAAAATGTTTATTAAATAATAAAATATTTAAAGTTAATATTATGAACATTACAATGCCCGCGTAAGCCGCTGATAAATCTAATTACAGTTGATATTTTTCAAAATATATTTATAAATGTACTTGTTTTATTCATTCCAAGTTTGGTTATAATCACACTATCATGTTATTATAATATGTTTCTTTACAAATTAAATCGAGGCGTATACGGCAGCAACCTCGATATATCGCGATAGTTTTGCGATGATGCATCGGAAATATCGATAGTTCAATATATCAAGAGTTCTCCAACACTAGCTTATGATAAAATTTTACACCATTTTGGCATTCTATACTTCCTTACAACTGCAAATCCATTTTTACTATTTTTTCGCATTTATGCTAGAAAATGTCATTATTTGCGTTCGTTTTTGAAAATGTCACGTGTATTATTGCTACAAAAACCACTCGTACAACAAAAAAATTAAATTTAGAACCTTGTTTGAAAAGCGTTACCACGAAAAAAACGTTTAACATTCAAATTTCACATTACATAAAACTAGACGCTAAGTTTTGAAAGTTGGTATGTATTGAAGATGTAAGTTGAAATTGAAGTTTGAATATAATTTCGTATGCTCGCAAAAAAGTTCTTACAAAGCTAAAAAATGTAAAAATATGTGCACTAATTAATTTATTGTTTACTTATTATTTATTCTAGTTTTTCTTTTTTTAATTTATTACTAAACTTGCTAATATTAATTTATTCTGTTCCAAACTTGTTATTCTTAAAGTTAAAAAAACTGTGAAAAAATATTAGTTTTCACCAACGAAATTTAATTTGAAAACAATTTTAAATAAATAATCTATTTGCTTAAACTGCCTTACTTTTAATGAAAATAACAAAAGAGAATCGTTGTATATAAATCAGAGTATATCTATACTAGAAGTAGTTCGACTTGTTCCATTCTGTTATTTTTTGTTTGTTTGCGACTTCCAAAATCTTAAAGTAATCCATTTTTTATTAGAAATAGATGGTAACCCAACATTTACACATACAAGTTACTTGCAAGCAAGTTTGTATAATATTAATTGTCAATTAGTTTTTCGAAATGTCAAATTACTTGCTATTATGACGTAGGTGTTTAGCAAGTTAATTTTTGAAAATGTCTTTGAGAAGAAAACAACTAGCAATATATATAATTGTTTATAAATTTTAGAAACCATAAGTTTGCTAAGTTTAATTTTTTCAAAACAAAATTCAAAAATTTTAAATTAAAAAAAAAATCAAAACAACAAATTTTTTTTTTGTGAATTTCTCAATATGTCAAATTACTTGCTCAAATTACTGGCAGCAAAATTTTCTTGCAAGTTGAACTGCAAGTAAACAAGCAAGTAGAAATACTTCAATGTGTTAGTAAAATTTTTGTATGTATTGCAACTTTCTTGCAAGTAACTTGTACGTGTAAATGCTGGGTAATAAGAGTTGTGTAGGAAAGAAGCAAAATATTGTAAACAAACGAGGGTATCAAAAACATACTGTTATAATCGAACTGATATAAAATTAAATTAAGTTATTTTTATGATAATTAAAATTTTTGTTATTTTTATTTTGATAACAACAAAATTTATTTTTCATATTTTATTTTTCATTTCATAAAAGTTCTATTTCATAAAGTCGAATGTATGAAAGTAATAGTTATAAATTTAAAATTTCATACTTTGTTACATAGTACATACCTATTCAAGGTACATAGATACACAATATATGGCTGCTTCAAGCTTATTATTATGTTTATGAAAACGTTACTTCACTTGAAGCCGGCTTCACTCAAGTCGCTTACTTGACTTGAAATGTTAATAAAGATTTGAAATTTAATAGCTAAATGCCGTTTTCGGGTATTAAATTTTACTATGTTAGCATTCAGCTAACACAGTAAAATTCTTAATATTTTTTCTTATACTTTATACACGAAAAAATAAATAACTACATAAAAATACATAAAAAACCATCACAAAAAACCATACGTTCTGAAAGTTTTTATGGAATGGCTGCCATTGTTTCGGGTAGCTCCAAAAGCTAATTTTAAACATTTGGAAAATTAATAAAGTTAGATTCAAGGAACTTGACAATCCTGTGTCCAATTATAGATCATATATTATAAATACATATTCCTGAAGTTTTGGTGATATGACTTGACAGGTTCGGGTAGCAGCCATACAACTCCAAAAGCTAATTTTAAATTCTTTTACTTTCAGCATAATATGAATACGTTATTAAGCTTCAACAACATCTTTTTCTAACAACTCGTCCCTTAGAATTTTATACATTTTAACATAAACTATTCTAGTTCATGAGAGCTTTAAGTAAGAAGTAGAACTGTGTAGAAATAATTTAATTATAGAAAGAATCAGTGTTTCATTTTTTTGGCCAACTGTCCATTTTTTGAATTTTCTGGTAAATAGACAAGTTCTATATTTTATATAATTAGTATGTTGTAAAAAACAATATTTTTGTGTTATTTCTCCGTTTGGTATGGCATTCTACTTAGATGTGGATCGTCCACCTAGATGTGATATCCAAATCCGATAAATATAAATGACAAAAAACAAAAACAGAAAGCATTTTACAAACGTTCACCTCAAAAATTTTTGGATAACAATAACCAATATACAGTATTTATTAATTACTCGTATACCAATATTTTGAATACCAAGGTATATCAATAATATCAACTTAGAGAACTTACAAGTTTTCTTTGCTCCAATATGTCAACTTTATTTTCAAGATGTAATGTTTTTGAGAGAGAAGAATTTTTCTCTTCAAGAAGTTTAATCATCGCGATTTAATTGCTTTAAATTCATAATTCCACCGTTTATTTGTTCGAGCGAAATTATGTGATTTGTTGTAGACCTACTCTGAATAAGTTAAGAAGAGATATTATGACTACTTGATGCTTTGTTACTATTGATATCGTTGTTGTTTGTTAATTGCATTTTAATCTTACGTTTAATGGTGAGGTATCAGCATGCAATGATTTCCTACGCAGATCAGTAGAACCACCACATCTAAAGTAGGCATGTCATGCTCATTTAATATAACGAGCCGCTTAAAGGGTTTCCGTACATTGCTTCGGATCGCACAATATAAAAAACAACTACTAAATTATACTGAAATTTTCACTCATATTTTGTAGTCTCATCACTCGAGGTGATGGGTTATTATTGAGAGGTATTTTAGGTTTCAGTATAAAATTTCAACTTTTGGAAATGATTCTATGCTGGAAAACTCAAAATCTTTGAATAACAACTCATCGAGTCAAGTGATGAAACTAGCAAATATGAGTGTATGATTTTTATTGTCAACATTGATTTTTTTTTATTTTTGCAGTCATGCAGAAAAATATAAAATCATTTTTTTAAATAAGTTACTAAATCTTCGAAATTTGGTTAAATTTAATTCGCAGTAGTACTTTTTAACATTTTTAATATTGATTAAATTACACGTCGATCTGTTATTCCTTGATGTTTCAGTCGTTTTATTATTTTTAT